TATATATATATATTTTAAATTTTTGTTTTCTATTTGGACAGTTTGAATTTCAGAATATTTGAGCCAGAAGAATTCTTATTTATAGACGTTTGATGATGGCCAACATCTCTTTGCTGGAACGTAGGACACGGTATTCCCTGTTATTACTGGTTGTCAGTGGTTTATCGATTCTTCCATTTGCTTCCTGTCAGTACTGTAACACTGTAGTTGGTAAGTTTACTTGAAGGTCTAGATAGAGTTTATATGTTTATAACTGTCAGCTTGGAAATGACGCGAAATTAAACGGATAGGTGAGATTGAAACTCACTGATATTCTTCCCAAAATTTAACTGATATTCATTCATGATCCACAGGGGAGAATTTTAAGACCAGCTTTCGGTGATTAATGGTGATTAATAAAGCGATCTTTGCTGATCTTTGTTTACATTTCGCTCCTTAACATAAGTCTGTGCGCTGAGAAGGTATCATGCAAGATGCTAATTAACTCCAAACTACTGAATTAATGAGCTTTTTGGCTCTTTTGGGTATGATATTCAAGGAGTAATTGGCTTTCAAAAACTTCAAAATTTACGGATGACAAAAGCGCTAATAAGTTCACTTGTTCTTTGTAAAATTTTGAGTTTTTTTTAACCCACGTCGCACAAGGAATATTCAATACATGAGTCTGAAATTCCTTTGGACAACTAACAGTAACATGTGCCGTCAATATTCAAAACTGATATGATATGTTTTTTTTTGTTTTTTTTGTTTTGTTTTTTTTGTTTGTTTGTTTTTTTTGTAGCTTGATCACAAATTTAATTTCTTCTGCTAATGAGGCAATCATTGAAAAAAAAAATCGTCTTTGGCGCCGATACGGTGTGATGTTATTAATTTATGTACATAGGTCGCTAGCGCAGGAACTGAACAACAAAATTAACAGTGCAGTGTATCATATCAGTAGTATTATAGGCAACGTTTACAACCACAAAACAGAAACGTCTACACAAAGCTTACTGCTGAGTAGAGATCTTTTTTCTATTATGTTTCTCACGCAATTTGAATTTTCTTTTACAAACTCGACCTGAACAAGAAACTAAATCCTTAACTTTTGCGCGCGCGTTTACCTACAATGAATTGAAGGCACACATTAACTTGCCAGCAGAGTTTTAAAAAAGCCATTACAATAGATACTTAAATTGTTAAACCAACTTACTCGTTCCGTATTGTGGAATATTGGCTTCGCCTTTTTTGTTTTGCAAGTTTATAGATCTCGTCTACAACTCAGTTTGTAACTCGGTCCAGAAACTTAGAAATAAAAACTAAAACTCATGCAACGTTTCAAATATACAGAACTCACGCTAGTTCAACTGTTTTACTTTTTTTTTCCCTCAAACAGGTGAACCTCAGATTAATATCTCGTCAACTCCGCCATTCAACAAACTGTCGATGGGCGCAGCCATTAATTTGACTTGCACTGCCTGGCAGACTGATCAACTGGCGAAGCATCCATGGACAAGACCACACAGAATTGAATGGTTTGATCCACAAGATAAACGAATTGGATTCCAATGCCGGGCTGGGTGGCCACCAGCTAGACTCATGAAGTGCACATTGGAGGTCGGTGTCTTGACGGACGGAAAGCTTGGCAGCTACACTTGCAGAGCAAGGAATGGTTACGATTACTGCAGCACCAAAAAATTTCAAATTGGTCCTCAAGGTAAGGCAAAACAGCCGAATGATCAATTCCCGTTGTCATCTTATGGAGCATGAGTGTGTGTCCATTGAGTTACGGGCGAACTGTTGTACCCTAAGTAAGATCGAGCGATTTACTGGTTATGCCAAAAATATACACACCAAATGCTGAGCAGCCCTTCTTCAATTCCGGTAAAGCACTCGTGATTTACGTTCGACATGTAAAGATGCCCTAAGTGAGAACCCTACGTTATTTCAGTATATTCAACAATTAGATTGTGAAATCGAGATTTCTATATCGTGATTGTGCATAGAAATCAACAGCAAATCATGTTATGTTTTTTTTTTTTTTTATGAACCTTCTAGTCGTTCATTATTATTTTCCTCACAGACACTTCAAAAACGCGAAAAAGCAGCCCTCAGTTTGTTAACAAGCGCACACTACCGGGTTACTCACTATCTACAACAGAGTAGATAGTGAGTAGCTTAGCCAATCAGATATAGAACGGCATTCGCGATAGAATGTTGGTAGATTTATACCCATATAACATCTTTGGGATTCCGCTTATGTTACTTAGCAACAGCTACTTAAGTTATAATAACATTTTTTTCTTCTTCTTAGACATCCCAAGGCCAGAAGTTGTTAAGTAATGATTCCGTGGAACAGATTACGATGAGTCTGTGTCTGGTCAATACAGCATCAATATATCTTAAATATTTTATATGTTTGCTTTCTCTATTCATTTGTATTCTTTCATTTTGTATTCATTTTTTTGTGCCTACGAACTAAAAGTTTAAAGTCTTCAAACATTTGTTAACCTTTTGTTGTTTTTCAGTACAACAACACAAAGTTAACTTGTTTCCTGATTTGGAAGGAACACTTAGTCTATGGGAGAGACCTATCAATTGTATTAGAAATTATTGAAATTATTGTAATTATTGTAAGAGTAATTTTATCATTATATAATTCAGAAATCGTTGAATAGCTCAGTTCTTATCATTACTGCAGTATAACTTAAGACATTAATAGCGCCAGACGAGCTTAGCTACATACCAGAAAATACTGTATGTTTACTTTTCAGGACTATTACACATTAAGTAGAATTAATTGTTACACTGATACATTTTTAATGTTTTAGCTGTTTACTTAATAATTCGGATTAAGGAATAAAATCTCAATTATACTTTATGGCGCTCTTGTATATGTGATGCTACCCTCCTCCAATACGAATTGGTCTTTACAACATTTACATTTAATTTACTCTGTTTTTGAACTATGTGTACCCCTACCTCGCTGGAGGACTCACTCGTTTACAATGTGCTATGGGAGACTTGGTTGGAGGTGCGGGTGGGAAATAATGAGGCCTTCGCCCTTTTAGAGCAAGCATCCCTATTTTGTTAAGGTTGGTTTTCATATGGTCGCTTGGGTCGCTGACAAAAGCTCAGCGATCGTTGCGACCAAATAGAAACAACTCAACTCATATCTCGGTTTCTTGAATACTGAGCTGTTTTACCACTATAGAAACTGAAGCTCCCGTTCCAAATGGTTTAGCCAGTTTCTTTTTTTTACCTTAAAAACGGGAAGACATTGATGCACTGGTTGCACATCATTTTGAATTATTTCTCACCTCACAACGAAATAATAACAATAACAATAACAGTAACAGTAACATTTACAATAACAACACTAATAATAATACTAAATAATAATAATAGTAATAATAATAATAATAATAATAAATAAGATTGCGTCAATTGAAATCCTTCGATTTACCCCAAAACGTAGTCTACAGGCAATGAAAAACTCGCTGACATAATTATCGTGACATCAAGTTTTCTTTTGATTTTCTTTTTTTTTAATACAAAGAAGACTCTAAAAACCTGCCGCTGAAACTATGCGTCAAATCGTTTACACTCTGTGGGATTTTTCAGCTTTGAGCTATAGGAGACTCCAACTTGAACTCTCAGTGAAAATGTTTGTTGACATCAGAAGTTTTAGAATATGGAGACTGGCGTCAAAGAACGTTCATGTAACTAGAATGTATTCCCGAGATATGATAAATTGCTGAGTTGTTCGTGGCTTGAGTTACCGGGATTTTACTGTACGTTGAAATGTGACATAATTCGACTTTCGTCGCAATACAGTGATCAGTTTTGTTGGTATGATTCATAGGGATGGATCCAATAATGTTATATGTTAACTGCTCTCTTTTTTCCGTGTAGCACATTACATTTGATCCGAAAAAACATTGTTGAGGCAATACTAGAGGGTTCTGGGATAAGGGAAATTCTGGTAAAAATTAACGGGTGACGTAATATTGTGGGAAAAATTGATGGGGTAAGGCATATTTTTAGCAATTTTCTATCGAACTGGAAAATTGTTACTTCTGAATTTGAAATTTACGGAATACGGAATATTTAAGCCAAAATCTAACGGGATACGGGATACTCAACCCCCATCCCCCTTCCCTAACGGGCCGGGGCCTCCTTGTTTCGTACAGCAAAATATCCATACGTTGATTCTAATGCGACTTGATCCAAAGGTACATGGAGGACAAGGAGTATACGCAAGCTCGTATTCTGCGACTTTTTTCTTTCCGCCGTTGAAAGTATGAAATTATTTTGCAGGGAGGCCATTTAGCCAAGCTATTTAGGTAATTTATATGAATATACAAACTCGAGATGGCCTCAAGCTAGCTTATATCTGCAATTGTCTTTTGCGGCAGATTTACGCGCCAAAAAAACCAAGAAAGTTGTCATTAAAAGTAATATTCCAGTTGCAAAAATAAAATTAGAAAAAGTAGTTTTTGTCACGTTTTCCAATGTTGTAAACCTGACTCCTATTTTCCTAGATGACCTACGTCTGCTTATATCTGTAATTTTCTTTTGCGCCAGATTTACGTGCCAAAAAAAAGCAAGAAAGTTGTCATTAAGAATAATATTCCAGTTACAAGATTAAAATGAGAAAAAGGAGTTTTCGTCTTGTTTTGCAATGTTGTAAAACCTGACTTTTATTTTCCTAGATGACCTGAAGTCTGCTAATATCTGTAATTTTCTTTTGGGTCATATTTACGTGCCAAAAAAGGCAGGAAGTTGTCACTAAAAATGTTTCAGTTACAAAATTAAAATTAGAAAAAGTCGTTTTTGTCATGTTTTGCAATGTTGTAAACCTGACTTTTATTTTCCTAGATGACCTAAGTCTGCTTATATCTGCAATTTTCTTTTGCGCCAAATTTACGTGCCAGAAAAAGCAGGAGGTTGTCACTAAAAACATTTCGGTTTCAAAATTAGAATTAGAAAGAGTACTTTTTCTTATGTTTTGCAATTTTGTAAAACCTGACTTTTATTTTCCTAGATGACCTAAGTCTGCTTATATCTGCAGTTTTCTTTTACGTCAGATTTACGTGCCAAAGAAAGTGCAGAAGGTTGTAACTAAAAATATTCCAGTTACAAAATTAAATTAGAAAAAGTAGTTTTTGTCATGTTTTGCAATGTTGTAAGACTTGACTATTATTTTCCTAGATGACCTGAAGTGTGCTTATATCGTCAATTTTCTTCTGCGTCAGATTTAGGTGCCAAAAAAAGACAGGAGGTTGTCCCGACTAAAAGTATTCCAGTTACAAAATGAAAATTAGGAAAAAGTAGTTTTATTCATGTTTTGCAGTGTTGTAAAATCTGACTTTTATTTTCCTAATTTACACAGTAAAGTTAGCAATATTACTTTTAAAGTACATGCATGATGATAATGACCGAAAGCTCGAAACTGAGATGTAAGGTAAAAGGAAAAAAATTCATCCTGAAAATACGATATTTTTTTATATCGATTTCCAGCATTCTTTCATTTAGCGCGAAAGTTAGCGTGAAAACTTGGAGAGTATTAACACTATTGGAAGATACTGCAGAGTAGCAAAAAACAATCCTGAGACAAAAACACACGATGGTAAATCCAGACGTACTCGCAATGTTTTTTGTTATATACTCACCCGGTGTCTCAGTTTGAATGCACAAATTAAAATGAAATTGTAAAATTAGTCAGACAGAAGAAAATGAAAGTTGTCAATTTTTTAAAACGCGCTGGTTCCAAAATGGTTTTGCTTTTTTCAAACCCACTTCCGGTCCGTGCATTAAATGGGTGAATTCTTCTCACAGCTGTGTTATTAGCAATTCACCGCAGAGGGTTGGAGACAATTGCAAGGTATAGTGGTCTGCCTTTAAGTCTAATTCGTTGACTCAATTGGTAAAGTTACAGTTTTCAAGTATTGCTTCAATCAAATATAGTCTTTTGCGTATTATTTAATAAGGAGGTGGTTTAATTTTTGAAACATTGGGCATTCGTTAGTGGGAAGATCTCTTAGGGAACAACAATTGAGTCCACAGTAGCCTGGAATATACAGATATATCTTTTTTTCTTTATATTAGGATGAGTAACGAAAATGGATTGCCTAGGGATGGTGAGGAATATCGTATTTGGTCGGTGGCAAATCAAAAATGCTTGGTATTGAAAAAACGCGGTCTCGACGATGCTGCTCCCAGTGTCACTTGTGATGGCAGAGGAGATGAAACTGGAACAGGAGACGAAGGCTCGAGTAAGTCACAGCTCTTCATATTCGTTGTTTTGGCTTGTTTTCTGATAGCATATTTCACCAAAGAAATCCAGCCGGTATTTGCAGCTATTCTTTAACATATCGCTAAAAACATTTATACCCATTGAAACACTGTGCCAGTTAATGTCTCATACCTATTTCCTTTTCTCCAACACAATCAAGGTAAAGTGATAGCTAAGGAAAGAATTGACCCAAATGTAATTGGTTGGCGTTTTGTGTTTACACTCGACAATAAGAAATACGTTCTGCATGTAAAGAATGATGACACTGTCGAAGCCGTGGAGGTGAGCTATGAATTTGACTTTGTTTCGTGCATCGCTTTGTCTGGGCACTACAGATCAATAAACTGTACTGAAACGAAGTAATGCGTGTCAAGGGACTCATTCTGGATTTCTAACCGTGAAACACGAGAAAATGGTTACCACACGATATCTCAGTTAAAAGAGAGGAAAATGCCACTTTTTCTAGTCGTGGACTGGAAAACGTAAATTTTGACATTATTATTACTGCAAACCGTAGCCGAATTCGCCTCTGATTGCCTGAAACCAGATCATTTTATTTAAAATTTTATTTATAGCTTAACAGTATTATTGTAATCGCATGTTAGTTTGATATAAGCAAAATGCTATGATAGTGTTCATTGCGTGACTTGAGTCAGACGTAAAGAAAGCGTGCGTGACAGAGTGTCCTTTCGAAAGCCGTAGATTCCATTATGGACATTTTGGTTCGTGGATGATATTACTTAGACTATCAAATTCTGTTCAGAGTCGATCAGTTCACTGCAGGTAAAGGAGAAGATCCTGATAAAATTTGTGTAACACATTTCCTTTTCAGTTTTTAATTGAAGTTATCGGTTTTAGAATTTGACTGCGAATTCTTTGATGCGTTCAGAACCCAATGTTGATATTGTAAAACGTCAACATGACCACTGATAATTGAGCTCCCTTTTCTGTCACAGTTTACAGGAGAACATCCGCCACCAGACGCAGACTATTTTGTGAAGGACACGAAGACGTTGTCCTCCGGACCATTCCGAAGATGGGAATTGGGGTCCAGTGCCAGTGGCGACAAGAAGTACCTTGCTGTTAATAAGGATGACGGAAGTTTATTGGTTGAAACAGAGTGTCATCCAAACACTCTTTTCTACAAATTCTATCTATGCACTAAGTAGGAAACAACTGACTAAACTTTAGAAACTAAAATTGATTTGAATCAGTAAGGTTTATGCACGAAGTAATTAAACAAAAATAATGTCAATAAATCAGCTTTATCTAAAACGAATTGGATATACCTATTTTTCACATTGTTTCCTTGCGAGTAGAATAACAATAAGAATAAAAAAAAACATTGAAATGTTATTTGTAACAGACTCAATTTTCAAAACTATAGTTGTAATAAAATCAGTTGAATTAAAGAGAAACTGATAGCTGCAGTTGTATGGTGAACAATTATTTATCGGGGTGGGAATGAAGAGTGTACATTATTTGACTTGTGTTTGTAGCCGATATAACGCGCGCTATGATTGGCCAATAATTGGGTATTATTTTTTCGCAATGCCCACGGGCCGATAATGGGCCTGCAAAAGAAAAAAAAAAGACAAAACAAAACAAAACAAAACAAACAAAACAACAACCAAAAAGCCATTTAATAAACTACTTATATTAATCCCAAAGGTTCGGTCTTAACGGGATAACTAGCTGTATTGACCTTGCTATCACCTGGTTGATACGGTTAGGTCTCGGTTTGAGATTTTGAGATTTTAACCCTTGGACGCAAAAAGGGGGGCGGGGGTAGATGCCAGACCCTGTAAGGTTTTTTCAAAGTTTGGAAAAGACGATTTACTCTAAGGGGCTCAAACTTTCAGTTGCTGTTTTATTCATTCTCTGCAAAACTTTTGATATGTGTATTTCGTGTCCATAATTTTTGACGTCGCCATGGCAACCATCAAATTTCGTGTAGGTCTGGCCAAAAATCAACTTTTTTGAGATAACTCTGTAGTTTTTTCCAGTTTTTTTTTTCATTAAAATGCAGATATTCATAAATTTGTACATTTCATAAGCATTGTGGCTTGATTTTCTGTTAATTTCCGTTATTTCTTGACTTTTCATGGGAATAGTAAAATCCAAGATGGCGGATCCTTAATTTGACGTCATAACCAGCAGAAATGATAATATATAGATTTAGTCAAGCCTAAAAGCGGAGCTCCTGATTGCAATGACTGACGATAAAGGAAAAAGAGAATTATTTTTTCTTGGATCAGAAACTTAAAAAATGATCAATTGTGAGCATGCAATTGTTCGGCGTGTGGTTTTGCTATTTTTTCCACTTAAATTTTAACAAACCATACCCAACAAGCCTAACCAAGATTGTAGAAATTACGTACGCAGTATATCAGGGAATTTCCAAGAGACGATTGTACAAGGAATATGTTAGAAGAAAAGTCAACAACGTGCCAGGGGTTAATTTGCGCCGAAATTTTCCCTTTGCGAGTACTCCTTCTTTCTATCCCAGAGAAATAACGTGACTTGAGCCCGCCATCCAATCGTTAAACCAGTAACTGGTCAGAGGTCAGCTTTAAAAAAACACGCAACCTCGATGAGCTCTGAACCTGAGCCCGCGATATAGTCACATGATACTGGTCAGCGGATAGCTTGTTGTGACAGCTGTCAATTAACAATAGCGTGGACGCGCAAAATCAAAGATATAGCTATGGTAATGGTGCTACTCTCTTAGTTTTCAAGGTATTGGCGTACGGACGGACGTACGTACGTACGTACGGACAGCCACGTGACAACCAAAATTTTTCAGATCGATGGGTTACCAAATTTTCTAAGGTATGGGGCTCCGCTCGCGCGCCTTCGGCGCGCAGGAGCTTCGCTATCATTTTGTAGAGAAATCTCAGGGCTATCTAATCAATGTAAATTTATTTCGCTCTGTCTCAACAGAACGAAAACCAAGAAGGGGGGGTCAATCCACCTCCCTCGTATCACGATGGAGGTATGAGTTAGCTTGTACATGTACCAAAAATATGAAGGTAGATTGTGAACAAAATGTTCGACTCCTCGTTTCGTCGTTTCGTCGTTTCCGCACACCGATACTTCTAGTCGAGTCGTTTTTTTCCGAGTTCGACTCGTCGAATTGCCAGTTCGACTCGCCGTTTTAAGAAGTAGACTCATCGCTTCGTGAGTTCGTCTCGTCATCTTGTCAGTTCGATTCGTCGGCTGGCCTCTTCGACTCGTCGTTTAACGAGTTCGACTCATCACTGACCACATCGGCTTTGTCGTCGTTTGCCGTTTTGTCGTTTCGTTATGGCATTTCATCGTTTCGACTCGTCCACTCAGCGAGGCTATAATTCGACGTACATTAAATGAAGCGTTACTTGATTCCATGCACTTTTACATGAAGTATTTATCCATAATTTGCTCTCTACCAACTGTAAATGGATTCTTTGAAGAGCTACCTACTCTAAAGCATCGAATTCGTCTTGAATCGCGTGAACGATCGTTTTCTGGAAAGCGGAAATGGGATTCGATATCTAGTAACACACCTTGTTCCTGGCGGTGATGACAACTCATTACAAAGACGGTTGTCAAGTTTACAGAGTTCAGGGGTCGTCCCAGCATAGATATTCCGATGCAACTTTTGGAACAATACCTTGAGAATAATCATACTGCAAAACAGATATTGCTAGACTTTTCTGTGTGTCAATCAATCAATCAATCGATCGATCAATCAGTCAATCAATCAGTCAATCAATCAATCAGTCAAGTCAAGTTCATTTTTCCATTTCGCTCGATAAATATGAGTGCATTGAGGAGGACTTTAAAAACCTTTACAGGCTTTATGTAGTCCCCCATTAAATGACCTCAATTAAAAAATATCTAATAAATTTGGTATCAGTGATCAGAGTTGAAAATATTAAAAATAATAAAAGTTGAAAATATTACATTTCCTTCCTTGTTGATGTCTCGCTGCTTGAAAACGAAACCGCAAAAATTAGTTCCCAGCGGAAATTTCAGTCAATTCGAGACGCAGAAAATTGTTCCCGCAAGCCTCAAAAATATACTGGGAGTGATTTTGTCAGTGAGGATAAGAAGACGTGAAGAAACTGACACCACTCCTCCCCCCTTAAACATGAAGTATCACAGGAAAACTAAACGCAGGTGGTTCGTTTTTGTCTGCCATATTGTTTTGTTTGTTTGTGTCCTGTGCGGACAACTTCTTCTTGTCCCTTCTGCGGTCGGTAACAATTTTTAACTAAGATTGAAACAGAAAGTGCTAACAAGAAAATCGCTAGTTTGTCTAATAAATTCAGTTTTTGGAAAAGTGTACAAGAAGGAGCTTCATATGACGAAAATGTTATAACTAGCAATGCCGTCTTTTGCAAAGACAATCCCATGATGCATCATTGAATATTAACTCCACTGCGCAGTTTGATACCATGACTGCGCAATTTGATACCATGCAAAGCAAAATTGATAATCTACAAATCATCCATCCTACCTCACTTGACATATTGCCATCTGGTATGGCATAACTGCAGATCCTCTGACAACAGAAAAATAGAGCGGATTCAAGAACGCGCACTTAGAGCAGTATTTAACTCCCATTCAGAATCATACGTAAACCTTATGGTTCGTGCAAAGCTACCTTCACTACTAAATCGAAGACTACAAGATATTGCTATATTAATGTACAAAGTAAAATATGGCCTCGTGCCAAGTATTGTCGACGAATTGTATATACTTAAAAACTTATGCTAACAATCTCTTATTGTATATATCGCTGACTTAAGTTCAAATGTTTTTTCTGTAAATACCCCTAGTTTTTAGTTTTTAGTTACTTAGCGATTAGTTAATTGCAAACGACCCCGCAAGCTCATGTAGCTTTAATACTCATCGTTTTAAAATAAAGGTTATCTATCTATCTAGAAAAGCGCTAGTTATTCATTAAGAAACAGTGATTTTGATATTCCTACTTTTAACACTATTAACTATGGAAAACATTCTATTAGATATCAAGGACCGAAACTTAGGGTTAGAAACTAGATGAAACTAGATAATAAATTGAAAGGCTCCTCGAATATTGAATTTTTTAAAAAGAACATTAGGAAAAAAGACCTAACGTCACTCTTAAACAACGACAATAGCTGCTGTAACCTTTCCAATTCTTAGAGACTATCTCTTATATACCCATTGTTTTATTGTACAATTTATACTTAGCTCTTATTAAACGAGCTGGAGGTCTGTATGGGAGAATCTTGACCGAGGTCGTGAGTACAGACCGAACGCAGTGAGGTCTGTACACACGACCGAGGTCAAGATTCTCCCAT